CGATAATCTGCGACGGAATAAGACCAACATACCTAGATGTTTTGGAACGCTGACAATCGAGACAATTTTTACACAAGCGAGAAATATTCTTATGCATATTTGGCCATACATATTTTTTGCGTATAACACGATCCGTAACTTTAGCACCTGGGTGTGCTGGAGAGTGTAACAATCGAAAGACACGATCACGCTAAGAAACGGGAACAAAAGGACGCAGGACTTCGCCTGAAAGATCACAAAAAATGAAATCATTCTCTCGACCAAACATGATTTTTTTTAAATTCAATGAAGTATTTTTACTTTCCAGAAAGGTCTTTAACTCCGGACAACTACTCTGTGCCTTAGCAAACTTAGCCAAGGTGATCTCGGAAGGAAACAAGATGGCATCAACAATGCATTAGACAACAACAACCACATTCTCAGGTCCAGAGATATATTCAACTTTTGTGGTAAATTGTAACAAAAACGATAATTGATTTAACTGTCGAGGCGATGCCTTGTCAAGTCGTTGTTCAAACACATAAACAAGGGGTTTATGGTCAGTAACGGTTATTAAGCGCGTCTCAGCATTGGCAGAAGGATGAGAAAGTAATGTGGCGTTAGCAAGCTCACACTTGACTCGATCGAAAGCTCCCTCGGAAACCGAATCCCAGGGAATAACGCGCTTGTCGTTCTTGCGTGAATCTCGAAGGAAATTGTTGAGTGGAGCTTGAATTTGGGCAGCATGTTTAATGCTTCGTCGATAAAAATTAACGAGACCCAGGAATCGACGAAGTTCGACGATTAGTCTTGGGACGCGAGAAATCAACTACTGCTTTAACCTTTTCAGATGTTGTCCAATGCCCTTGCCATCCACCAAGTATTCCAAAAAATCGAGTTCGGACCTACCAAAAGGACATTTTTCCAAGTTGAGATGGAGATGGAATTTTTTTTTGGCGTGTGAAAATCTCATGAAGGTGACGCTCATGTTCGACAACAGAGGAAGAAGCAATGAGTATGTCATCAACGTAGGCAAAGACGTAATCCAAATCTCCAAGAGCCCTAGAAATATAGCGCTGGAATGTTTGACCAGCATTGCGCAGTCCATAGGTCATAACTGTAAATTCAAATAACCCAAAAGGGGTGATGACGGCTGTTTTTTGAATATCCTCTGAGGTTACGGGTATTTGATTGTATGCCTGATGCAGGTCCAATTTGGTGATGGTCTAGTGATTTCTGGAAACTTCGACAATATATTTGCGAGTGGTAAAGATGGCTCCAATAATTGGATACGGTGTTGCTACTTAACAGAAATCCCATGAAATGTCGCGTCTAAGACCGAGATTTAAATTTAAATGTTTTGTTTCTAATGTGGAAATTCGCGTATTATTTACTGCGTAAAGGACAAGTTCAGAAGGTTCATGATTTTTCGAATCAGATGCTGGTATTAATGACACGTCTGATCCTAAATCGATCAGAAATACTAAACCCGATTTGCGGTCTCTGATGTGGAGAGGCTTTGATGACTTATCCGATCCGAGGGTCTCAACTCGAAACGGCTCAATTAGTTCTCCGGATTTCCCCTATTCTTCTTTCAAGAACACGGAGCTATGCACTTTGACGCCGATTTTGCAAACTTTTTATGATACCAACATTATTATTACACTTTATTAGACAATAGCCCATATACATATACAGAGTCCAACTTGAGACAAAAAAGTGAATTAAAGTAAATATACATGAAAATTGAAACCATATAAAAAATAATACAGAACGATATATACGGTTTTAAAAAGTAGGTTAAATTCAAGTTAAAAGTATTATCAAAGTTACCTAAAAGTGGCCAGTCAAAAAAATAAAAATTGTAAATTTTACATCTTGAGCACATGTGTATTCTGTCAGAAAGTGCCAGGAAACTGAGAACCAGGAAACTGAGAATTTGGTCATTTTTCGTCTAAAAAATTGAAAAATTACGCTTAATAACAAAATAAAGCATACTGGTCAACAGGGAATAAGGTTCTACGACACCTCGAGCAACAAAAGTATAAAAACATAAAATATTTTTTTTAAAAATGCGTGGTATACTAAAGCATGCTGTGGTATATCTATAGCGAGACGCATGCTTACATGGAAAAAAAAGTACGTGAATCCTTCCTTGAAAGTGCTTGACTTTTGGATAGGACACAAAATACAATGCTGTATCATATACTTTTTATTAGAAAATATAGAAAAGTCCTAGAGTTATATAAATTTCATTTAGCATAATTCTCATTTGACATAGAATATACTTGACATAAATTTCATTTGGTATAAATTCCATTTAACATAATTTTCATTTGACATAAAGTTCACTTGATATCAATTTCATTTGACGGATAAGTCATTACCCATAATTCTCATTTGACATAAAATTCAGATGTCATAGATTTCATCTTACATAAAGATCATTTGACATAGAAATATAGGCGCGAATTTCAAAATTGGCGAATCACAATGTTGTTGATAATATCTAATTGGTTACTTTTAAAATTGGCGCCGATATTTTTATGTAAAATGATTTTTATGTCAAATGAGAATCATGTTAAATGGCATTTATGCTAAATGAAATTTATATAAATTTAATTTTACGTTAAATAATAATTATGTTAAATGACATTCACGTCAAATGAAATTTATGTCAAGCTAATTTTATGTCTAATGATATTTATGTCAAATGAGAATTACGTTAAATGACATTTATGCCAAATGAAATTGATGTCAAATGAATTTTATAACAAATAAAATTTACGTTAAATGAATTTAATGTCAAAAGAAATTTGTGTTAAATGATTTTTATGTCAATAGAAATTTATGTTACATAATTTTTATGTCAAATGGGAATTAAGTTATCTGAGTTGTGTGTAACATAATATTTCGGTTTAATGAATTCTATGACAAATGATATTTATGTTAAATGGTTTTTGTGTGCAATGAAATTTATGTCGAATAATGTGCATATTATGTGAATTTTATGTTAAGTAGTTTTATATCAAATAACTATTTGGTCAAAAAAGATTTCGGGAATAAGGCTGCGGTTACACCTCTGCAGGCAGCCTGCCTGCCTGCAGGTTGTCATGGTAACATACAAGAGTAAGAGAGTCAGTGACTTCAAACTTCTCCCTTACTCTCGTTGCTCCTGCCTGCGCAGGCAGGCAGCCTGCAGAGGTGTAACCGCAGCTTAAGCATGCGTCTCATCTATAGCTATGAACATCGATGCACACCTTCTCACATTGTAAACTCTGCTTTACGCATACTGAATTCCTCGCACTCAACGCTTAGCTATCAACTTAGCAACGGTTGCTAAGGTTCGCGTCAGCTCATGCTTTCTGAAGATCTGAGGGGAGCGGAAAGTAATCTCTACATATCAACAGAACTTCAGACACTAACACAATAAAGCTTTCTTAGCAGGCTTTCTTAGCACCGCATCCCACTTCTGAATTGTTAGGATGGTTTTGTTTCAATTAAAAGTCTTTTATTTAATAGAATAATATAAGAAATAATATTTATTGGGTCAGAATTTCTCAAACGGATCACCTAAAATTAAAAAATTTTCTTCTTGAACCAAAATATTTTTTTGACACTTAATATGGGAACATTCCCTCAACATCACCATGGAATATTTCTTTGACGTCATATCACCGCCCAGTTAAAAAATCCTTTACTGCATCCTGACGGGGTCCTTTAAGGTTCCTGTACAGGAACCCTGATGGATCCTCCAGGGATCCTTCGCAGTATCCTGATAGGATCCGTTGCAGGATATTGGAATAAGGATCCCATACAGGTTCCAGTACAGGAACATTAGCTATCAATGTTTCATGTATAGGTTCCTATACAAGAACACTTGCATTATCCTACACATAACAATTTTTAATTTTTAAGATGCTAAGGAACATTCAGCATCTATATACTAAATATTTCGATATGTGCGGGTCCTAAAACACAGCTGGACAGAAAAATGTACAGCGCATTCGATAAACTCAAAGAAAACTACTGCGCAGGAGATTAAAAAAGTTCATAAATTAATTGAGAAAACCATGGATTACTTACACACAAATACCTACAATTTATAAAGGTGCAAGTGTTCCTGTATAGTGTATACAAACCTTTACATGAAACATTGATACCAATGTTCCTGCACTGGAACCTGTAAGAGACCCTTGTTCCAATATCCTGCAACGGATCCTGACAGGAACCTATGTAGGATACTGTAAGTCAGGGTTCATGTACAGGATCTTTAAAAGATCCCTTCAGGATCTTCAGGGATTTTTAGCTGGGCGTGGAAGGCGGACGTGTTAATATTACTTTAAGATCCCTGGAACCTAATATCATCTTAAACCAGAAAATTATATATGAAGAAATTCAAGCTACTGAAACGCCTACACAGCACCGAAGTTTTCCTGAAACTTGACAACACCTCGCCTAGCGAGGTTAGAAACATTGATTGGCAATGTTCATGGAAGAATGTGTGAATTAATGTGTAAATTATTTACTCGATTATTCTCGCATAGAAAACGATATTTTTATTATCCTGCGAGCGAATTCTTTTGTCATGAAAATGCGGATCATTTCCCTATATTTTTATGAATAAGACGGTTAATATTTTGTATCAGAAGTATGTTCCTTATGTCTTCGGAGTTTCTGATTACGAAACAGAACTTTGTTTTCAGAAATTCTAAAAACGGCGAATCTAATTTGATCTTATCTAAAAATTCAGTAAATGGGGCTAATCTTTGTCTCTCGGGTGTAAGGATTGTTGACGCTGATTACGAATTCGCTGTTAGTTTCAGAAATTCAAAATAAAGTATGTAATATGGCGAAAGAGAAATTTAAAAACCTATCTATTTCGTATCTGTGGTTTTTTAAATAATTTTCTGATTTTGGCCATTAATAGATGAAAACGTGAATGATGAAGGGAAAACAGACCATTTTCTATTAGTAATTCTGAAATGGACTAATTTTTGTTTTGCTTTATTTCTTTACAGATGGAAAATCAGTGATTAATAATCCATTATTTACATCATTGCATACTTTACTTATGACAATATATAGAAGGGACTGTAGAAGGACTTTTTGTCCAGAGGGTCACTGGTTGGCAAAGTTAAGTATAATTATTAACTTTCTTAAAGTTTTAAATATTTTTCTCACATTGTTTTTTAAAATAGAAAAAATCAAAAAATTTTATTTTTTATACACTGATTTCTACGAAGAAAATTAAGAGTGTTGGAAGGTCTCCGAAATTTCTAGGTTATGTGAGACCTCCCATTATCGCCCTACAAAATACGGCTATGATTGTTTCAAATGACATGAAATAGGTAAAGAAACCTTTTCCAACTAATTTTTATTTGAACACTGCCATTTTTTAGAAAATATGCCAATATACAATGGGTAAGCATTTTCTAAATGTATGTGGAAAGATTTTTTAAATTCATGCTAAAACGCGATTGTAAAATGAAAAATTGGAAAGTAATGTAATGACAGGCTGCAAGAAGTGCTCTACAGCCAATCACCAGTTTCTGCATGGATTTAAACAATCTTTTGGATTATTGTAATTTAGAAGATACGTTTGCCGGTTTTTGTAAAAAGTGTCTGAGTTCAGAGAAAAATGAGTTGAAAAATGTTTGTTTACTTATTTCACGTCATTTAAATAAGTTAGTGCCATATTCTGTTGGCCGATAATCGGAGGTCTCACGTAATCTCGAAAATTCAGAGGCATTCCCTACTAAAAATAAAATCACAAAACGACAGAAATTTAGTCAGAATCTCTGACGTTTTTAGGCTGCATTTGTTACGATTGCAGCCACAGAACGTCAGGCTTGAGTCATGTTAAATCAGAAAGCTTCAAAAGTAGTCAGGTTTTTTATACAAAGTCGACACCCTTTTTTACCTGGAAAAAGGTCAACTGACCGTCATAAAATTGAAGGAAAATCTTTTTATTTGTTTATATTCATATTTATTTAAACATTATACTTGTTTTTCATCGACTTAGAATACATCTAACAATTATGCTCTTATTATGTATGCAATATATCCTTTAGAACTTAAATTCAAAAATGATATCCATTTTTATTTATCAATTACGGTTTTTGAGATACGTTACAGTTTTCTTAAAAAAATGTTTTTTATAATAAATTTTAGATATTTGTAATTGTGGAGATTTCTAGATTTTGAATTTATATTCATTTTACTTGAAATTTTAAAAATGCAAAACTTTTGAGCAATAAAAATTAGGTTAGAAACCCGAACCTCGTAACAATAGACCCGCGATTCTATTGTGAAAAAAGGGCTACGCACAAATTTCAAGTTTTAACGATACTTTACATTTACCGACTATATTTCGGTGAGGGGCTGTAAATAAAAAAAAGATTTCAATAATCACAATCCATAAACATCAGGATTCAACAGGAGCATAAAAAACCCTTTAGTCAGAATTAACCAAAAGCTTCAGGAAACGTCAAAGTAGTCACAAAACATCAAAATTTCTGACGTTTTCTCTTTATTCCTGATTTTATTTTTAGCAGGGTTGTGCCAAAAATATGCGCCCACATCGATGACACTTATGAGTGTTCATTTGCCCTCACCACACATATTGAAATATAAATTTACTATAATTTTAACACGCTTTCATAAATTTATATTTAATTCCTTTAAATATAATCGTTCTCTTAACTTTATAAATTTAGCTTTGCTAAGTGCTTTAGTAAATATATCTGCTATATTATTTTCAAATTCAACTTTTACAATATCAATAAAACCCTTTTCATAATTTTTATTCATCTATAGTGATATTGTACCTTTATGTGTTTTGAATTTTTTGTGAAATTTCCGAATTTAGAACTGATTATTGTTCCGGAGTTGTCTTCATACAATTTTATAACTGAGTTCTGTTTGTGTGATTTCCAGAAAATGACGTTTCCAAATAATTGAATAACAATCCAAGGTAGACTTTCGGTCTACAATGTCACTCACCCAATCTGCGTCGACAAAACAATCCACTATATCACAATTTTCGTCTATTTTAAATCTTTTATTGACTACAGGTATTTTAAGACACGTAGTGCATACTTGTAATGAGTATCGTTGTAACAATTTTGGTACCTGCTTAAGTAATTTACACTGAACGCTATGTCCGGCTTAGTACCAGTGCTTATGAACAACATCTCTAGCATGCATCTCTAGCCTGTATCGGTTGGCCTTCCGATTTACTATTGTCCTCTTAGTGACCCTTTTTTTCGACATTTTTTTCGTACCTACCGACAGGTTCATACAACTGATTAAAAGAGTTATTATTTACACTCATTTTTCTCTTTTAATTTGTACATAAATTGATTTGTTTCTTTTGCATTTTCGATTGCTGAGTCTGTAAAAAAATTTTTTGCAAAATAGATTTTACATTACTCAAATGGGGAATACTTTATTTGTCAGAAATTTTTTATTGCTTTATTCTAAGATTTTTTTTGGACAAGCTATAAGCATTGAAAGTGACGGGCCAACACTTTTGAATCCGACTTTAGTTATGGATGCTGTATGCGAACAGCAACCTACAGTTCTTAAACCATTGGCACATTCACACGCATAACGTTTCATCCCAGAGACGCCAATACTGTTAGGAATATTTCCGATGAAGCACCTATATACCTTTCTAGAAATGTGAAGTTACTGTACTTGAATTTTCAAAATATTCGACTGCTCTTTGACTACTTGAAAATTAATTTTTCCATCTTCATTCATCATTTCTGCGATATATGATATCGCTTGCGATAGTTGGTATGTATCTGTAAATAATATTTTCAAGTCAGTTTCGGTCATTTCTAGCAAATCTAAAACATCTGCGGACGAAATGTTCTGAAATGGCATTTTCTTGCGATAGCAACCTTTTTTCAGCCTCTTTTGCTAACGTGTTTTCTGTATATTTTTTATTTTTCATTCTTGAAACAATTTCATCACACAAATCCACATCTGACTCTAATTTTTTCCCGAATTGATTATTATCTAAGAATGACGCGATTCTAAAATAAACTCCAATACAAAGAAACAATTTGTTGTCAATGATGTTAGTCAAAAGTCTGTACTTTTTCTTTACATTACCATGTTCTGCTTCAACAGCATAACGCAGTTTTGTGAAACGTGAATCGTTCGATGCAAGAGTTGTTAATGTTTTCTTTTACCTTTAAGTGCTGGCATAAAAACTTTAAATCCTTGTTCCCCTAAAAAGCTTTTAACATCTCGAAAACCCGATTAAGAAAAAAATAATCTCCTTTTTGCATTAACTTAGACAAACCATTAGGATCCTCCAGCACTTCCTTCATTATTGTAGCATCGTTCATGTTAGCTGTGTTAGGTCCGAGGGGCTGTTTTCACCGATCTGCCTGAACTGAGTTCAGCAATAGCCACCTCTGTGTCCCTGCTCTTTCTGAATCTCCTTCAGTAAAGAGTATAGGTCCGGGTGATGTTTGAAACGAGTAAGGCAAATCTATTGTGCCAGCTTTCACTTATGTTGTTGGGTTTGTGAGACCCTCGTAAACCTGCTTCGTGTTGGTTCCATATACGTATCTCGCTAAAGTAATCCAAGACTGGACGAAGTTCTTGCGGTGCATTTGGAACGAGTTCTTGAAAAGATGCCTGTACATCCTCAGGCGGCACGAATGCGAGAGCAAACATCATGTGGGTGAACGTTTTCAGGTCGCCATAAGCAGCATTATTGTAAGCCCCTTGAAGACCTACAGCTAGGATACGACGACCCACCGACTGGCCCAAATGGAAAAAAACAACAGGAGAATACTGCACGGGGAAAAACCATGTTGTAAAAATATCGTTTCTGGAAAGAAAAAATCCGATTTCTTTTGTATAACTGAAAAATATGAGAAACTTATAAGAATGATCACAAACGATGATTTCAAAAGGCATCAAATTTTTTACTGATCATAAAGATGAAGCAAAATATTCATGTAATAAACATCTGTATTTATAACAATCATGCATCTCTCATCTTGTTTTCTTTTATGAAAGTAGAGATTCTTGAATGCAACACTAACTAAAAATTTTATATTCTACAAATATTGTTTTAAAAAAAGTTTAAAGTATTTTTTTTAATTCTATTCAATATATGAATTTTCTAAAAAACAATATCTAACTTTCTGCAGACAATGGTGTTGCCTGAGAGTGTTAAAAAATTCATATTATGCTTTTTCGAGTTCTATAACATCTATGTAAAATTAAATTATGCGGTTTAAGAAATAAGTTACGAAATCGAGTTTTAGAAATGAGACTGTAATGCACTGTTTTACACTTTTTATAATTTATTAATTAGATTTTTTATTAATTGTAACTAAAAATTAATTTATTGAATTTTTTTAACAGGAGGTTAGAGTTTCCGGATTCCTTGCTGATCTCGAAAAAGGGCGGAGAGGAGCAGCGCTACTTCTTTCTAAAATGCCTCACGTTATACCTCACTCTGAAAGAATTGTACTCTTTAGAAAACACATAGCTGATGAAAAAGCAGTGCTTGGCTTGACCGAAAGTGCCTGTAATAGTCCTCCTTCGACTTTGATTTCAGTTCACAGGTAATTAATTATTATTTGATTATTATTGTTGGTACCTTGAGATTATCAATATTAATGACTGATTTCCTATATATCCTTTCTACATTTGCTTTTCTGCTTCTCTATTTCCTACTCGCATTAAAAAATTTAACTTATAAAACTCAAACTTACATTGTTTATTTAATCATCAAATGTTATTTTAAAATTTAATGATAGTTTAGCAATTAGGAGAATGCATTTCTTATTGTTAGTATGTTGAGGGGGAAATAAGTCACAAAAAATAAAACAACTGACCCATGCTTTTCTAATTTTTCCACTATAAAAAATTATAATGGACATCATTTCTATCATCGAAGTTCATCCAATTTTAATGCAGTTTGCAAGTACAGCGTTTGCTAAAAAATTTTCGATAATAATTATAAAAACTTTCGAAAACATTTACCGAATGCATAATGTGAACAAAATTTTACAGTCTGAAAGTAATTACTCATGTAAGAAACCAAATTGTGATTTCGTATGCGAAACTTTATTTTCTTTTAAGAAGCATTTCCATAAATATTTAAGTAACGGAGAAAATTTTTCCATTCATTTATTTAGATGTCATCGAAATTTAAAAGATGAAGACATTGCAGATAAAAATAATGAAGTAAACTGCTCACAAAATGTTGAAGATTGAAAAACGAATCATATTACTGATTGAAGTGAAAACGATTTTTCGAATCAGACTTTTGTGTATTAATGCTCTATTTTATTGTTGAAACAATAAATATTAAACGTACATTCGGCTGGGAATAGAGAAAAATAGTATACGATATATGTTGAACGCCATATAGCATAATAATAAAATAAAGCCTCGGTCTTACATATTACGCCTGCCAGGACATCCAACTTTCCTGCCTTGTGTCTTAATATACTATTTTCTGGGGAGAATTTAAACTTGTATTAATAAATTCTGAATATTATGTTGAAAGTAATTTTAAACTAATATTTTAGATCACGAATAGTAGAAGACGGTTATCGACAATTGGCAATGTTACCATCTCAGGCATTGAAAGGTGTGATAAGAGTTCGTTTCGTGAATGAACAAGGACTAGATGAAGCTGGAATCGATCAGGATGGTGTGTTTAAAGAATTCCTCGAGGAAACAATTAAGCGAGTTTTTGATCCTTCTTTAAATTTATTTAAAGCAACAAGTGAAAATAGACTTTACCCCTCGCCAACATCCTCAATACAAGAAAATCACCTTTTACTTTTCGAATTTGTCGGCCGGATGCTGGGAAAGGCTGTTTATGAAGTAACTATTTTGAAATTCTTTTAAATTGTCCTCTATTATTGAATTTTTAAAAATTGTAGGGGTGTGTGTCCAGATGTGAGACACCTCCAGTTGTGAGACAGTCGATTTTTTTAACACGCAATATTAAAAAGCCGATTGCGTTTATATAAAAACAAAGCCAACTTTTTCGTGTACGCCGAAGCGGATATATAAACTGTTTTTGTTAGATTCCAACACTGTGTGTGATGATCGACTAAAAAGCGTCTTTTCAATAAATGCAAAGTACTTTTTTCCATGTTAATTAATTGGAAAAGGTAAATGTAGTGCATTTAAAAAGTATTCTTTTAGTATTTTCCTTATATTTTGTGATGCAATATTGCATTGTTCCAATCACGGTTGAAAATAATTAATTTTTCCTTTTTCAAAATAGCGCCAATTTCTGGGTGTGAGACACAGCATATCACCAGTTGTGAGACGGTGTCAACACTCATCTGGGCAGCATAAAAAATACGATTTTGCAGGCATACTATTTTAATGTTGTTTTGATTTTTTTCTTGTATTTTTGGGCATGCCAAGTGTAAGAAAGTCAACCGATTCTGAAGAAATCAATTTTAATGCTCTTGTTGAAGCTATTCAATTGTGTTTATTTGATAGTCATATTTTGGAGAATAAATATTATTACTTAGTATATAATAATATATATTATTATTAATATATTTAATTATTTATACTAAACATAACGTTTTATGTCAAACTTTTTAAATCTTAGAAATTTTTAATAAGTGTCTCACAACTGAACATATTTTTTTTGTTGACTAAAGTGATGTGCTCGGAAAATTGATCATAACTTTTCTTGAGTCCATCTGAACACTATACTTTCTTTGAATAAAAGTTGCGTATTTAAGTTACTTTACGAACGGTATATTTTATTTACAATTTCGTTTACCCATTTACAATTTACGGGTCAGAAATAAAACCCGTCTCATACTTAGACACACTCACCTATCTATTAAATAAAATAGGAAAGTTTGCTGCGAGTTGAACACAGTTTGAGTTCTGTTTTTAGGATATAACTCTTTACTAAAATGAGATATTAACATGTTTAAAGTCTCGTTATTGGTTAAAAAACCGGATAGATTTCGGACTAATTAGAAATTTGACCGAAACAGTGCGATTTATGGTCAGGTTTTTGTCACTCGAAATTAATCCGGATAAATCTGAAATCAAAACGGTTTGTATAAACTAGTGAATCCGGAATTAGTCCGAAACAGTCAAAAATTAGTCCGGACAATGTAGTGAATGTTAATAAAAAATAATTATACATTTACACATTTACAATTTACAGTTACAAAATTTATTGTTCACCTGGTTACACTCTTCAACAAAATGGAGAAAAGTGTATGCTCTTTAACTCAAATTTGATATGTCTTGTTTCTCAAAGCCAATCTTAGTGAATTCTGTGTTTAAAGCGGAGTAAAACTATTTTCAAACATTTTAAAACTTTAGAGTACGTTATCGGTACGATGATTAAACTTTGTGTTTAAAAATATTTGTCATTATCGATTCGAATTCGAATTACATTGATTCGAAATCTTTGAATAGTTCGATGTCGATTCCTCGCAATTCAAATTCAAACTTTTTGCATGAACGGAAGTTTTTGGTAATATAATTTTCCTAAAATGTGTTAATTTTTCAGGGAATAGTCGTCGACGTACCATTTGCTTCATTTTTCGTCTCACAATTTTCCGGACAAACTTGTGGTGCATTTTACAGTTATATCGATGAACTAGCATCTCTTGATCGAGATTTATATCGAAGTTTGACTCTCGTAAAAAATTATCACGGAGACGTGCAACAATTAGAATTATCATTTTCGTTGGATGAGGATGTAATGGGAAAATTAGTCACCCACGAATTGATTCCTGGTGGAAGAGCAGAACCTGTTACTGATCAAAATAAAATTAATTACGTTCATTCGATGGCAAGATTCCGAATGGTCACGCAAATTAAAGATCAAACTTTTGCCTTTATAAAAGGTTTTCGTTCCATTATTAATCCAGAGTGGTTATCGCTTTTCTCAACACCCGAGGTTAGAATTAAATTTTTTTTTATTTATCTAAATATTTATATTATAAACAATTTAACAAATTCATTATATGCTGGCTTAAAAATTCTGAAGCGTGCCACTAACATTTAGATAGAGATATTTTTACATTTCATATAAATAATTTTGTAGTATTTTCGTACCAAAATATGACCCCAAAGTTGATTTAGCAAAATTTAAATTTTTTTAAGAGTTATTGTTTAAACAATTTTTACGCATCACATTATTGAAAAAATTTTTCCTACCGTTCTATTTGATAGATTTTAGTAAAATTTGGTATGAGTAAATAATCATACTTTCGAACAAAAAATATTTGTTAGATTTTGTTTATAATTTGTTTAAAATAGCAACAATTATTATAAACAAATAGAAATAAAATAAACAACAATTTTTATTTCTATTTGTTTATAATAATTGTTGCTATTTTAAACAAATTATAAACAAAATCTAACAAATATTTTTTGTTCGAAAGTATGATTATTATTGTATATTACTCATACCAAATTTTTTTAAAATCCATCAAATCCATCCATCCATTAAACAATAACTCTTAAAAAAATTAAAATTTTGCAAAATCAACTTTGAGGTCACATTTTGGTAGGTACGAAAATATTATAAAATTATTGATATGCAAAATAAAAATATCTCTATCGAAAAATTAGTGACACGCTTTAGAAGTTTTGAGCCTGCTATCAAGAAATAAAAAAGGTAAGTCAGTAAATTGATATTAATTAATAAACTTAAAAATAAATCAATCTGAATTTGTAGATCTTTACATTGTATAAACGAGATCTTTAATTGTCATTTTATGAGCTATCGGAATTTAAAAAGTCGGTACTCTTAATTTTTATGTTATTCAAAATTGGAATTTGAAGTGTCGGTCACACTGCAAAAAGAAGTATCTTAATTTAAGATGTTTTGGTAGTCATTTCTAAGATGTTTTGGTAGACACTTTTTAGTTACTTGAAATACATTAATTTAAGATGTTAAAAGTATCTTCGCACACATTTTCTGTGTATTTTTGGGGTAAAAAGTTTTGAGGTTAACTATCCCAGTAAAAAAAAACTAATTCAAATGAATTGAAACGAATTAACATTTTTGGTAGGCTCCAATTCGTATTTGTCACAAAGCGGGATTCACTCAAGCTCTTTGTATATTCAATTGAATTTAATTCAATATGTACCAATTTGTCCAAACGAATTCGCATTCGAAAGAAATGGCCAAGGAATGCATTGAATTCGTGCTAACGAATTGAAAAAAATTAAAGGCTCAAAACTTGTCCAGTGAATTGGTACGGATAGAAGGTTCGGAAGTTCAATACAGTTTCACGAATTCAGGAAAATTGCATCATGGCTCCAATTCGTATTTGTCACAAAGCGGGATTCACGAAAGCTCTTTGTGAATTCTTTTTAATTCATTTCAATTAGTTTTCGTTTACTGGGATGGGCTCTTATGGAAAACACTTTATGTATCTTAGTTTTTAGTAACTTACACTTATGGTGCATCTTACGATTCTCAAGTAACTTATCGCTAAACATCTTATTGCAATAGAAACATCTTAATTTAAGGTACTTTAAAGAACTTACAAAAGTATCTTACTTTTCTAAGATGGAAGAAATATCTTCATCACTGCTAAAACGTATAAAGCATCTTAAATATCAGTAAGATGCTTTAGAAAACATCTTATTTTAAGATGTAAGATACCATTTTTCCATCTTACATCTTATTTTAAGATATAAAAAAAGATACCTATTTGTGCAGTGCATTGAACAATCGGGTTTTCTAATTGTCATATTAAGAACAATTGGCATTTGTAGAGTTGGTCATGGAAGAGTTGAGATTTTTAATTATCATATTAAGAACGTTTGTAAACATTTTAATTTTTTATAAGCAATTGGAATGTTCTGAATAACATTTTTCAAAATTGCATAACTGTGACAAAAATTAATAAAACTTTGAGATTCCTTTGGCAAGTTAATCAAGAAATTTCAAACTTTATAAAAATAATTTTTACACTTTAGAAACTTTTCAGTTGTCATAAAAAAATTGTTTACATTATAAATAATTTAAGAAATAAACATGTTCTGAATGACCATATTCATTTTTATAAACAATAGCTTGAAGAGTATTTGTTAAGAGTTTAAGCTGTTTCAAACGAATCTGCTTTACGCACTCATATCATAACAAACTTTTTTAAATTAACTTTACTTAATTTTAATTACAGTTGCAAAGATTAATTTCGGGAGATAATGTACCGTTAGATCTTCGTGATTTGCGAAGACATACTCAATATTATGGAGGGTTTCACGACAGCCATCGAGTGGTTTGTTGGTTGTGGGATATTTTAGAAAAGGACTTTTCTGAAGAAGAGAGAGGATTATTTCTAAAGGTATAAATTTTAATAATTTCATCAATATTCTATAATCACTACACAAATTTAAAATTTATTAAATATTTACTTAATAATGTAATGTTTGGGATTTTTAAATGTAGAGGATACTAGAGTAAACCCGCTCACTTATTTTATTTTTAGATCGATAAAAATCTAGGAAATTATTCTCTAAATCCAAGTTAATTTATATCATTTGAAAGGTTATGATTTCTACTAAAAAATTAAAAAAGAGTTTTTGATATATCTTTTTTAGTTTTACTTAGAGAAACTTTTTAATACACATATACCAAATTTCGAAATCACAATTTTCCAGGGTAAATCCGCTCACTTTATTTTTTCAAGACGGAACAGTTTTATTTTTTAAATACTAAAATTCGTCTTATTCCCGTCTTAAGCATAATTTATTTTCGATAAACTATGAGTTCTATAAACAATTCTATAAACAACAAATTGGTTTAATAAATAATGAATATACAGGTTTCATGAATTACAACTATGGATTTAAGTGTTATATTTTATTAAGAGAAAGTGAATTCTAGTTACAATTTTGGTTTTAACAAGTCATAAATTTTGTTATTGTTAAAATATAATACGTGAAATTATTTTATTCTAAATTTTGAATTTAAAACTAAGTGAGCGGCTTTACCCCGAGTGTATTCCTCACATTATAGATTAAATTTAATTAAAAATATTGCTTCGCACGGTCCGACTCTTTTTGTAATATCTCGGGAACCCGTAAAAAAGTCAAAAATGGCTGAAAATTAAAAATAAAATGATTTCTAAAAAGTCAACGCTATGCAGAATGCGACGCACGTTTCTGTTTTTAAATTCTTTGAATTATAAAAATGTTATAAATTTTTAAAAACAACACTTTTAGCAAATTTTTCAAAACCTTTGCCATGGACAATTCAATGCATTTTTATTTTAAAAATGTCTAAAATCGCCTAAAATCTATTACTCGGGGGTTTTTGGGGTCGCTGATTACAAATATGATGTCAGTTTTTCAAAATTCATAATGTCGGATCCAATATGGCGGACGACTTTTTTAAAAATTGATCCAAATTACCTGAAATTTGTTACTCGGGTGTTTTCGAGATCGCTGATTACGAATATGATGTCGGTTTTTCAAAATTCAAAATGGCGGATCCAATATGGCAGACATTTTTTTTTAATTTTGGATTCGCTTGAAAATTATCATTCGGGGGTTTTTGGGGTCGCTGATGACGAATCCGATGTCAGTTTTTCAAAATTCAAAATTGCGGATCCAATATGTCATACCATGGAGATCCACTTCACCCATGAACTAATTGGAAAGGTGAAATGCGTTAGGATATTTTAATGGAATTTCAATTTTTGCACTCTCTTTAAAGCTGTTCTCTGAAACCGGCATTTGTAAAATTTGTTCTGCTTTTATGATAAAAGCAAAATTTAAAAAAAAAATGTCCGCCATATTGGATACGACATTTTGAATTTTTAAAAACAGACATCCGATTTGTCATCAGCGACCCCGAAAACCTCCGAGTGACAAGTTTCAAGCGAATACAGAATTAAAAAAAATGTCCACCATATTGGATCCGCAATTTTCAATTTTTAAAAACTGACATCGGATTCATCATTAGCGACCCCGAAAACCCCCTAATGATAATTTTCAAGCGAATCCAAAATTAAAAAAAAATATCCGCAATATTGGATCCGCTATTTAGAATTTTGAAAAACCATCATCATATTCGTAGTCAGGGACCCCGAAACCCCCTGAGTAACAAATTTCAGGTAATTTTGATCAATGTTTAAAAATCCGTCCGCCATATTAAATTCGCCATTTTGAATTTTGAAAAACCGACATCAGATTCGTAATCAGCGACCCCGAAAACCCCTGAGTAACAAGTTTCAGACAAATTTGACGATTATTTATTCTTGGCATTCTGGGCACATTTAGTGTTTTTCAGACGGCAGTTAAGGGGTTAATGCCGTCAGGGGATTATGTTCAAATTAAATAAAATATAGTTTATTATTAATTTAGTTTGCTTTCTGAGGCTCCAGATACTGGAGTCTCAGCAGTTTTTCCATCTATATTTAACTTAAATTTTAGGGCCGACAAAAGTCTAGTCTATCATCTGGAATTGATTCTAGAGGTGACTGACGTGTCACAGGTCTCCTTAGAGGTGGGCAGGTTATTCTAAAATGTAACGCTACAAACTTGGTGAGGAGTTGTTCCAAATGACTTTCAGATTCTAAAATTTCAAACCGATAAATCGTACCTGATCCTCTTTTCGAATTATCTCTTTTACAGATAGTCGGAAACATAAAAATGTATTATCTTAATGTGGAAGCTTTGATTCAGAAGACTGCTGATTTTTCGTTATTAAAAATTTTTTATACAAAGATTTTATAGATAATTATGTTCATGATATTGAGAAAAGTGGGGGTAGGGGAGAGTGGGTCAAGACGGGGTACTTAAGGTTTAAAGCGCAAAAAAACGAAAATTATCGAATACATATTTTGCTATTTTATTTAATAACCATCTTTGAGAATCAGTCTTTAGTAATAAAGGCGCACAAAGGCCATTTGTTTCTTAAAAAATCATAAAATTAATAATATGGAAAAATTGCAAATCTCCCCATCTTGACCCACCGGCGCGGTACTAAAAAAGCAACCTATTTCTGTCGACAAATTTTACAAGTAAAGGTTGCATCTTCATCTTCGTCATTGGCACCAGCACAACGGCACAAAGCCCATTGGCCGCAGACAGAACAAGCAGCCCAGCTTTCATTTGAGTCTAAATAATAACCATTACTATTTATAGAGACATGGTGTATTTTCCACTTTACCATCGCTAATTATTGATTTGACCTGACAAGCTTTTTTTTGGTCACTCTTATTTTATTCAGTCTTGATTTAAGTAGTTTTCTTAACTTCCCTTATTTCTCTTTTCTTTTGCTTCATTTGTGTACCCCGCCTTGCCCTACTCTTCCCTACCCTATCTTTCCCGCACCTACGAAATTTAATAAAATGATTAATTACTACAATTTACGATTCAACAAAGAAAAAAACATATGCTTCCCTTCTTCTGTAACCCTTGTCAGTTATAAAAAATTTTATATATTTCATTAACTGTTATTATTAAATAATAAACACCTCCTAAAAAAGTGAAAAATTCACAAGAAAATTGTCGAAAACAGTTTTTTTTAGTAAAACAGATAAAAGATTTGTTCTCATGGCTTTTAGGTTTTGTAAACAAGAAACTATCGTCTCGGTGCAGTATTATGTAAAATATAATCGCGATTGGTTGATTCGTTTGTTAAATAGGGCCGGTACCCCGTCTTGTCCCACTCTCCCCTATAAATCCCAAAAATCACTTTTTAGTTTTTGTAAATACAACTGTTTTTATAAAATAAATCAATTTTGACAGTTAATTTAGTTTGTTGTTGGCAATATCGCTATATTTTCGTAAAGTAGAGGGTCCAAACTTTAATTTAACTCATATGACAAGTCTCTAGCACGTCGGATTTACCCAGTATACATTTTCAAAAACTACTAGGAAATGATTGTTCGGTACTTTACCCCCAATTTTCTCAAAATCCTGACGTAATGGGAGGTTTTTGTTAAATGTTAATTCGGATTTAGCGCACCAAAAGCTACGGTGAATGACTTCTTGATCTCAGACAACGGAAATTTTTATTTTTTTGCAGGCTTCTGAAATTATATATATATTCATATATGTAGCACTTTAGCATGTGACAGACGTGTCCAAATTCAAAAAATCAAAAAGTTTTTCGAAGAAGAGAATTCGGAACCATAATTATCTATAAAATCTTTGTCTAAAAAATTTTTAGTAACGAAAAATCAGCAGTCTTCTGAATCAAAGCTTTCACATTAATATAATAAATTTTTCAAGTTTCCGACTATCTGTATAAGAGATAATTCGAAAAGAGGATCAGGTACGATTTATCGGTTTAAAAATTTGGAATCTGGAAGTCATTTGGAACAACTCCCCACCAAGTTTGTAGCGTTACATTTTAGAATAACCTGCCCACCTCTGAGGAGACCTGTGGTGTCGTGACCCTCGAGAATTACAAATCATTTTAGGATTAATTTAATTTAGACTGCTTCTCTAAGATCGGTCTTGAATTACTTCTGACTAGATATTAATTGTTTGGGACAAATCTGGTTCTTATTTGTTTGTTGTCTGTATTGGTTTGGCTAGGCTGATTATTGGAGTTTTGGTTGAAGTGATAATTTTTGTAATCTATTATGGTATTGTTAAGGTCTGAATCGAGTCCTTTGCTGTAGATTTTCCTGAGCACTAATGCTGGCCTGGCTACTAGATGGGGGGGAGAACTAGAATCCACAGCTAGTTCAAATTTATTTTCACTATTGTTATCAGAAGAGGTCTGCTGCGAGAAGTTAGGGTTCTTTTTAGGAGGAGAGATAGTATTTTGTCTACGAAGTAAATATTTTTCTTCCGCCTCCTGATATCCTATACTGAACTCCGCTCTAATTTGACGGATCTCAAGTTCTTTAATGTAGGTCGGGCATGTTGTCGATGATGCTGGGTGTTCTCCCTTACAATTGCAGCAACTTGATTTGGGAAGTAATCGTTTACAGTTCTCTGTGTGATGGTTCTCTGCGCAGTGCTCACATCGAGGCAAGTTGGACCTGCATTGTGAAAACACATGCCAGAAGCGTTGACACTTTTGGCATCTAATAGGTCTAGGGATAATCAGAGAAAGTGGGAGCTCGAATGATGACACTATTATGTTTTGTGAAGGGTTAGGCCCGGCGTACGTGATTTCTAATGCCTCCAGCATTTGATTGTTAAAAGTGATCCTACGTTTAATTCTGATTATTGACTGCGTATCGAAAGGTCCAATCTTTTTACAAAGTCTTTATCTGACACGCTGCAATCTATATCTTTGACGACGCATTTGGAGATCTTGAGGGTGTTAGGGATATAAACCCAATAGTTTTTTTGGATTAATAGAGGTGAAGTTTTTAAT